TCCCCCCTTCCAAAACGGGGGGGGAGTGGGTGAGTATACGAGTATTCGTATACTCCCAAATTTTTAAAAACTTTCGCTTTGTAATCGAAAAAAATTTGAAATTTCTAATAAAAACAAAGTTAGAATATTATCAAAATATCCGCTACTATCGAAAACGCAAAAACAAATTCCAAACATCCGGAAAATTGCTTCCGCAGTAACAACTACTTAATTGTTTCTATAAAACTTGCACATCAAAATATTTTCGGAAAGAACCGGCGAGACGTCGCCTAAATTCTCAAGAAAAATATTCCCCCAAGTCCGTCCGGGACTATAAAAACACGAACGCTCGGCGATTGGCCCCGTCAAGCAAGCTAGCCGTCCTAAACAAACGCATCGACCTATCGGTCTGTATACATCCGACTAGGATAAAATAGCGCGCTATGAAAGAAATCCAAATTTTTGGTCAGCACTTCCGGCAACTTAGAAATTGTTCCCGGTGAGATGCTCGATTCCATCCATACGAATCGTATAAGCCGAGAACCTATCACGGATTCTAAATCGGTATGGAGTCAGGTTAAAATCGCAACAGGCAAAACGAAAGCCGACTAGTCATCGCATAGCCTCAATCCGAAAGTAAACCTAGGTCTTACCCTAAACCCAGCACACTGGTCGCTAACGTCTCAAGGCATGAATGGAGATCCTAAAGGCATGTCTCTTCGCCCACATCTAAACACTCGCGAAAATCGAAACCTTCCGAGTTAACGAATCGGACGATTTACACCATGAGTTAGATGCGAGATGATAACTCGTATTCTTCCCTCTACATCTAAAAACGAAACGCGAATTTCATACTTAGAAAAAAATTCTTATTAGAAAATCTTCAAATACACGCCGCCCAACGGCAGGGATTCAAAGCCACCAACGGCCAGTCCCGGAAAAACAACAACGAAATCAAAAAAGCAATAACATCACACATTGAAGTCATCAAACGCAGACTGATCAACTTCACCCTCTACGTCCGAGATCCCAGGTCCGACCTCGACCGAATCCGGCGACACCACAATGGGGTTCCACAGATCCCACATGCGCGCCCTAAGATCAAAAAGCTCGGGCTGCATGTCATTCTTCTGACCCACGTTCCCCAATCGCGCGGAGTATTCCTCAGTAAATGAATACCCTTCGTTTTGAGTAAGGGACAACCCATGGACAACACCGCGACATTTACGATAATCACCATGCACCCGTAGATCAACTTCAGCATCCGAACAGCCAGTTGCAAACCACTCACGACGGGCCTTCACCTCCGCAGCAACCTCTCTCTTTCCCGCACGACGAGCACGACGAATTCTTTGGTCAGAAAGCTCCTTGGCGCGGCAAGATCTAGCCGCACGTTCATCCCTCACACGAGCTATTTCCATCTCAACCTTTTCTTCGGCTTGGTTAGCCTCAACCTCCGCTCGAAGACGAGCGACTTCTTTTTCGGCCATATCCGCTCGAAACTTGGCAAGACGAGTTTCAGCACTACGGCTATCTAGGGCCCAGCTCATGACAAGGAAACCCTACCAAGGAACGGAAGTAAGCATAATTATGCGACGATAAAATCGTTCAAAAAAAAAAAATTTATAAAACGAATGAACCTCTTTAGCTAACTCAGACCCCCTAGTAAACACCGGGACTTGATCATGATCAACGCCCGGAAAATGGGAGGTCGACGACCCGCCCGCATTCGTCCATACACCTTCTTCCGCTTGACTATCGAGGAAGTCCTTGAGAATATGGTCTGGAGAAGTCGCACGTTCAGATTCGTCATCTTCAACAACCGGATGTTTATCCTTTCGGAATCTCGACTTACTTCTCCTCATTGAGGGAACGTGCGGGATAAATTCTCCTATAAACGGATCCTCTTCATAAATCGGATAATCCGCAAAAAGCCGAGATCGGAAGAGAGCAACCGCCCGGCGGATACGCTGCGGAGAAAAACTGCCCCAGCCGACTTCCCCACGCTTAAGTAAGTCAGTGATATTCGGGATATCTACCGGATGCGGAGGTAAAGGGTTGGTCTCTGCGGAAAATTAAAACGAATAAAAAAGAGCAACAGAAGGAGGAAACTTGTGTGAACTCGAATCGCGTACCTTTCCGACCCCACACGGTTGTGAAAAACGGGATGCAGTCCTCCTCGACTGACGCACCGTCAATACGAACATAGAAGAAATTATTCTTCCAAGAAGAAGAGTTCGATGAGCTACCAGTGACGATTCCTTTGCGAGGGCACAAAGTGATCCTTCGCGTCATCCCCGTGGGCTTCAGCAGACCCTCGAGATGGTCAACGCTGAGGATGATTCCCTGCTCATAGCTCAGCGTCAATAGACCAACGAGTTGTTTTAAGCCAGGGGGAGTCAACTGACTGATCGATAATCCCAGCCTATGAAGATATCGAACAATGACCTCCGGGATCGGAAACCACAAGTGGCATTGCTGCAAAAATGCGTTGTAGCACGTAAAAAAGCCATCAGGCGCAACCTTGTCGCTCTCCCCGCCAAGTGGAAGGCGAAACTCGACCGCTTCTGGAACTCAGAAAAATTCTCGCATGAACTCAATACTGTTAAGAGGAACTGAGTTTGGATGTCCGGATGCTTGATCAGCCTCCGACATAGCTGGAACCCAAATCCCAGACCTAGCGGATCCCGAATCGTCTCCCAACGCCCAAAAAGTCGCACGGTCTGCCGGATCAATCGATGGAAACGAGCACTCCTCCTTGGGAACTGAAGCTCGAGGTTACGAGCTCGATCCTTTGGAGTTACGAGAGTCAGAGCTGGTTCAGGAACGAGTTCTTCTTTTTGAAAAGATAGTTGAAAACTTTGGGAGAAATAGATTCAAAGGAAGTAGAGAGAAAGTTTCTTGAAAAAGTTATGGAGAATGAAGTAAAGAATTCTAAAAAATTACTCCATATACTTATAAGAAGAATTTTGCTATTCACCTTTGGACTTTTGGCCATTAAAGTTCCGCCTAATTCTACCAAACTCGCCAAATAAGCTCGATCCACTCGCAAGAACTCAACGATTCTTACAAGCTGGGGGATAACTGTTGGGGTCAAAATCAGTACGACGGAATCAACGGCCAAAACTCCCCGCAGAAAATATAAAAGAAATCATTTTATAAAACTCGAAGAAGCGTTTTATAAAACTCGAGAATTGTTTTATAAAAACTCGAGAATCGTTTTTATAAAACTCGAAGAATCGTTTTATAAAACTCAAAGGATCGTATTATAAAACTCGAGAACCGTTTTATAAAACTCAAAGAATCGTTTTATAAAACTCGAGAATCGTTTTATAAAACTCGAGAATCGTTTTATAAAACTCGAGAATCGTTTTATAAAACTCGAAGAATCGTTTTATAAAACTCGAAGAACCGTTTTACAAAAACCGCGATAAACCAAAACCGCCGTAAAACGTGAACTAGCTTCGTCCCGGCTAGTTCCCCGTTGGGCGAACTAAGCCAAGCCGGCTTAGTTCGCCGTTGGGCGAACTAGCCTCGTCCCGACTAGTTCGCCGTTGGGTGAACTAGAAGCTTCCCGGACGGTCTACCGGCCGACCAGCCGGACTGGTCCGGCTCGGTTCGCCGTACGTCGAATCAACCATCCCGAGCCTCGATCTCCCGTATCCCCGATTCAGTGCTTACGAAATTCGACACGGTCGTGCTCCGGACCATGGTCAAAATGTCTCTCGTTTCGTCTCGATCCAACCTATCGTTCGAGTTTTACGATAAAAACCGTAAAATTTCGTTTTCTCGGAAAGAACTCGAGGAAATCGTATAAAACGGCAACGGTTAAACGAAACACCAAACATTGCCTAAACTATACGATTTGTTCGATATTTTTCGCTAAAGTCGTAAAAAACGCGTTTTTAATAAAAACGCCGAGAAAATCGTAAAAAACGGCAACGGATAACCAAGGAACGAACGTAGCTAAATTTTACGATTAATTCGGGAATTTACTAAAAACGGCTTCGGATCGGGAAACGATCTCGTATAAAGTCGTAAAACGGATTTTATCGTAAAACGGTCCGAAAGGTCCTAAAACGCGATAAAACCCCATCTCGCGATATTAACGAAATCTAACCCGAAGATACGATAATGTTTTGATGATTTACTCGCAGAAGAAGGATAAATGTCAAGTTTGAAGACAAAAGGCAAGTTTAAAAATAAATAGAAGATTTCCGCGGGAGAAAAGGAAGGATCAAGAGAAATGGAAGATTCCCGATAAACTCGAATTCGGGCAAAATGGAAAGACTAAAACCGCCTAAGAGGGAGTATATAAGCAAGAGGCATAGGGCTGAAGCTGGGACACGATTTTCAGAGCTTTCACCACCAAATATTAGTATTTAGGAATATTTTTCGTTTTCTGTTAGCGAGCTGCGTCTCAACTAGGGTTTTCATTCTTAGAATTCTATAGTTTCGACTACTCTCGTTGTAACAGTTCTTACGCAGATTCGGAATAAGAACTTTCTTGCTCTCAATCTCATTCATTCTATGTTTAATTTTAAAGTTCATCGTTTTCTTAATTATCGGTTTGCGGTTCTGCAGATAGTCGGTTCCTCTGGAAATTTAGGGTTTACCCGAAGTTTCCTTATATACGATTTATTGACAATAGATGGATTTCGGTTCCCACAGTTATCATAGCAGTTTCTCTAATACAAGATTGAGAACAAGCTTGTTTTCAAAGGGGTGGTATTAATACATTAATAAATAAAGAAGTAGAAAGCTGATATGAAGAAAGATTAGAGCAAAACATTGAGAGATTGGAGGAAGTAGATGAACAAAATGAAGTATAAAAAGAAACTTTAGATATATTAAAATTATCTATTGATATTGTAATTAAAATAGACATTAACAGTTTGGATCCGATTGTCATGAGATTGATGATGATGTGCAGTTTATTACTCTCTAATGATTTAACTTGAGAAAAATATTTTCTTTGAGAACTAAGGTTACATTCATATGGTGGTATAGATTGTGCGTAGTAGTGATCAATTATCAAGTAACATTCTTTATAACATTTATGATGCATGCATGAGGTAGAGGTTGTGTTGCCAATGATTTTACATTCATGCAAGCACAAGATAAGAGTTTTTGATAGTGAGAAAATTATTTTTGTCATGTAACATATATACATCAAAGGAGTCGCAAAGGGGTAAAGAGTAACAATCAATTTAAGCGCCTGAACAAATGCTCCTCTCCGGATAGATGATCCACATGTCTAATCCAACGGCTAGGATGCTTTCTTGAGTCACCACGCTGGTGGCCACCTGCAGCTCCCATGTGTACAATATCCAACCCACTCCCAACAGGCAAAAACACTGATCTTACCACACGTGTCCCCGCTTTAAACACATCATGCCATTTAAACCCAGAGACAGCTCTCTGTGCAGCGTTTTTACACACTAAAACGGCACCCTTGTTGCTCAATTTCGCAAACCTTAGCGTTTTAACGAATTCTCGTCGCTTAGAGTCTACCACCAAGAAGTCCACGCCGGGAAACTCCTCCATCGTGTTCTCAACAGATTCTCCAACCACCACAACCTCCGTAGCTTCCATAATAACGACTCCTCTCATGTCTGATACATACTCTTGTTTCGACTGCTCGTCTGGTACTATACACACGTGTCTCCCACAAGTGTGACTTGCAGCAACTGCCAGTCCAACGCTAGTCATGATTGGATCGCCGCGTGACCATGTTTCAACGATTAGCCTAGCGTTCCATCCAGCCGCCGTAGCTGACAAGAACTCCGCCACTCCTGATTCTTTATAGCTCTTACACTGCACATGCAAATCATAAAAAAAAATATATATATAAGCATATGAATACACATATCACCCATGATGAGGTTATAAGTTGAATCACATACCGATATAACGGTGTTGATGTAAGCTTCAGAGGCGGTTTCAGGCGACCAGACAAGCTTCATGGTGAAAGTGAAATGGAGATTTTGTGAGTTTGTGATAAAAGGATAGGTTATTATATAAATGGACAGACGAAGCGTTGACATTTGCCTACACTAATTAACAACGTGTCAATTGGTCTCATTGATACCATTTATTACTCCCTAGTCCCTATGCTATATTTACAGTTTGTCAAAAATATATAATTTCATACGATATCTAATGAGTTATTACTACTAGTTTATCTAAATCAAGTCTTATATATGGCCACATATATGCATATTTGTTTTGATAAGTAAAGTTTGATTTTGTGGTTATTTTAGAGAAAACTAAAGTAATTCTATTAAAATATTTTTTAATTAAAATAAATATTTATCTTGAGAACAGCTAATTAATTTTATTTCGGCGCATGTTTCACTTTTCATTTTAATAACCAAAGAGTAAGTTTTAGATTCATCCCCTAGAGTGAATATACATGTTCACCAACTAATATAATTATTTTATTTATATTCAGTATTTTGTTTTAAAAACATAATATTGTTGAGTTATACTCCTTCTGTTTTTAAATAAGTGTCATTTTGACTCTTTGCACATAAATTAAGAAAACTGTATAATAGACTAATATATCCATATTTAATGTATGTTTAATTAAATGAAAATAATTTAAAATAAAATACTATTAGTTATTCAAAATGGTAAAAAATAGATTTAATGTACAAAATTACATTGGGATTGTAGAATGATATTTTTTTGAAACAAAATTAAATGGCTAAAGTGACACTTATTTAGAAACAGAGGGAATATTATGTTTTAAAATTAAAAGATCAAAAATAGAAAATAATAGTAGTTGTAAAAAAAATTCTTTTAAAAAATATTTTTACTATATTATCTAAACTCTAAATCCTAAACTTTAAAACTTTTTGATAAATCTTATACCCTTGGATAAATCTTAAATCCTTAAATTTTAGAAAAGTATTTTTAATTCCATTAGCAAAATACTAAACCTTAAATTCTAAACCCTAAATTTTTGGATAAATCATAACCATAAACTCTTGGATAAATTCTAAACCCATAAATCAATCTTAGGGTTTATAATTTAGAGTTTAGCGTTTAGTGTATTTTTTGCGGTCTTAAATATATTTAAAAAAATAATTATTTGCGACTACTATTATATTTTTGTATTTTATCTTTAATTTTAAAATCATAATATAACTTTATAGTATTTTGTTTCTTTTCTTAAAAAAAAATATTAAATATAAAATAATGAAATCATATTGGTTGGTGAATCTAGACGTTCACTTAGGAGATGAACCTAAAAAAATTTCATGGCCGAGTGTGAAAATATACGTATATATTAAAGGATTCGATCGCTGACATTGTGGACTTGGTAAGACAACGTAACTTAGATAATTACAAGAGATGGTCAGCCTCAATCTTTGATTGCATTTTTCTTTTATTCATTTTTATTCTTGGATTCAGCCTTTGTTATTTCAACATAATGACGATTCGATTTTGTTTTTTTTCTTTGACACTCGCTTTCATTGTGCCAACCAACCAAAAGTTATTCATAACACAACAAGAAAATATATATAAAACGCAATTTCATCGCCGGCTAGTTTGTTGGCTGATTATGCACGTACCATCCATATAAGCTAAACGATATGCGACAAAGAAATCTATTAATTAGAAAGCATGTAATATTATTAAATGATAAATGGTAGCTCCATCGACTAATTAAAGAAATATGAGCAACACAAAATTATTGTACTTAGGTACAACAAATATGAACCAATTCCTGGCTTGATTTAACAAACCAATATTTGAATTCTGCTGATAAAACATATAAACATAGACTTTTTTCTTTCTTAATCGTAAAATTATTCTGTTTATTAAATTATATGGTCAAACTAATTAAGCCAATGAAATCCCTCAAATTTCATTTTAATCTTAACAGATATATTTGATTCTTTCGACGTTATAATAATCATTTTAAGCCAGTGTGATCTCTCGAATAAGTTAAATTGTGAGTGTGTTGTGTAGCCCCCGAACGTGCAAGTAACTATAAGTATTTTCTTTCGAAATTTTCTTACACTGAACAAAGAGGCAGAAATGTTCACCAATGTTTACATGAACCAACTGTAGATACAAAACCACTAAATTTTCAAAGAACTAAAGTAAACCAAGGATTCAAATACTATGGGTAGTAGATATAAACTTACTTTGCATGTCCGTAATAACTTAAATCGAAAATTAAGTTCCTAATATACTATTTTGGTCGCGACATGCCTGTACCACATGGCTCCTGATATAGTAGGAACAACCAAATATATAGCCAAGTACTCTTAAACTGATTAAATTCTGAAGTTGACATGATATTAATTAGATTAACTATTGAGTAAACGACAAATTCACGCTTTTGTTTTATATTAAACACACATGATTTTTAAAATGCAACTTTGCATTAAAATATATCTAAAACAACTAATTTGATAAAGGGGATAAATGTACGATATGTCGTACCACTCCATCCTGACTATGACTAACCAAGAAGTCAATGCTTATCACAACTTGCTTATCAATATCTTATTATCACTATCAGTTTTCTATTTTCTATACATATACTTCGCAGAGATCTGTTTGGCGGACGTATTTTAATCAACCTTAATTTTATTATCTGTCTAATTTTGTATAGAGAATATGCTTGGAAATCGAATGATAGTGTAACTTTTGGTGTCCCCTCATCTCTCCGTCAAAAGATAAGAAAGGTAGTAGTTTCAGAAAAAGAAGTTGAACAACACTAAACGAAATAAAACTATACTTGTAGATTTTGATTTTGAAGAAAAAAAGCAGATTTTGATTTTGAAAGTAGATAATCTATTCTATTAAAATAGAATCATTTTTTTTTATCTACTAATACAAATTTTCATTTAAATTTGGACCATTTCTATAGTGTTACAATTAATACAAGTTATATAATTAATTAAACCGTATTATTTAAAATAAACGATGGTTATTTATGGAATATAATTTCGGGCTTACTTTGGTTTTTAGGAAAAAATATATATTTGGTTTTTGGGCTTAGTATAAAGAAAAACTCCAAAAATACATTGAATAAACTTTATATTCTAATGGATCAAAAAATCAATTATTATCTTCACGCCCAAAAATATTTAATGTTTTTAACAAAACAAATTTTCTATTAATCATTTATTTAAATCATGCAATTTAAAACATGTTAATACATTTTTTTATTTTAAATAACAATCACTTTGCTTTGATAAATTTCAATGATAAATTTTAAATAATTTAATGTTTTATTTTTCTTAGATAATTTACTGATTAAAATAAATAAATGTAAAGCAAAACCAAAAACTAAATCCAAAAACTAAAATCCAAAAAACTGAAAACGCATGTTATATTTTTGCTTTTGTTTATTTACAAATAAACTATTGCAAATATTTTTTTAAAAAAATTTGTCATCTTTTCAGTTTTTTAAAATTAGATGTTCTATTATTTGAGATTTGTTTGTTGGTAATATCAGTTCAAACTAACTCAACGGATCTAAAAATTAAAAACACAAATCAAAAGCTGAAAATCAAAAATAAAAACTTAAAAACTAAAAAAAAAACAAAATTTAAAAATAAATCTAAAAATAAAAACTGAAACTAAAAACTAATGGAAAACAATCATCACCACAAATTTTGGTGAACTGATTTTATATCAAAACATTCTTTAAATTAAGACAAAATCCAATTATATATTTTTTTAATTATAAAAAAATTTGCGCTTGAAAAAGCGCAGGTCAAAATCTAGTTAAACAGTAACATTAAAACAGCAGAAATCATATGTTGCAAAACCTAATTATTTTGAATGGTGTACATATTTAAATGTTTAAATGAGTTGTATATAAAATATTGTTATTTATGGATAAGTTATTAATCTTAGAAAATATATTAAGCTCAACAAATATTGTTGGGCCACTGTAAAGTAAACAAAAAGTATTGGTAGCCTTGTAAACCGTAAGCAAAACTACACGACGTCGCTTAAGCTATTTCCAACGAAACTATACAAAGCCGTTAAACGATCACGATTATCATGTATGTTCTGCTTCTCCCGGAGAGATGGAGGATCCGTTCCAATAAAACCAGATCCGTCTCTAGGCATGTGCCTATATATATATATATATATATAATATATATGACTTAACTTACTGAGCAAATGCGTTTTCAGGCTACTTTTGCCAAGTGAAATGTGTATCCCTCAACAGATTGAGTAAATGCGTTTCGACCACTTTTACTCACCCGAGCAAATGTGCCCCGGCCACTTTTGTTCGGACAAAAATAAATTACGAATAACTTGATACTCTAGCGAGGTACGTAGGCAGCCCCGGCCAAGGGTCCAGTCATACCCTAATCAAAGCTATATTTCGAGCTTTTGCTGAAACCGACGCGACGGCCACTGAAGGAATTCATACCGGTTTATAACTATTTATACATCTATTTATGAATTCAGTTTTGCCTAGAATCTTATGTTAATACTGAAATAAATCTAGATCATAGGGTTTCGAATATACTTGGTTATTCGCAGCGGAAAGATGAATAAATCAAGTCGAGATTTAGAGCACTCCAATTGTCGTGCCTCTACCGATATTCTCACGCACACAAACTCGATCGATACGGGATGCTAGTGCCGTCGAGATCAAATCTCAAAACTACACAACGAACGGTTCGTCTTTTATTATTAGGTTTGTGATTGCGGCAACCCTTGACCAGCTCATGTCATTATATCACATTATATAATGAAGACTAGGACTAATACATGGACTATGGAATTATTAACAAAGCACATTAACCATAATACATAATCTCTTACCCACCTAAGGTCGCAGAAAACTCACTCGCGATCGGAACAAGGTCCGACCTTCGCACATACGAACATGGTAAAGGAGAGCCAAATGAACCCACGTTACATTCGATGTAATAACCCGCCAAAAGGAAAGGCTCTCCCCAGCGCTCTAATCCGTGGCCGAACCCCCGAA